TTTCTTGTTTTATTGTCGTCTGTTAATGGTACACGCAAATTTCACGTCCGATTTATGTGCAGTTTTTATTAGAATCTGTATAGCAATGATGATGTACAATGCTAAAGAGCTTTCACATATACATCTGACAATAATGACATTGATTTCCATATATAACACGCACGAGTGACAATGTCAATGCGTCATATCGCGTCATATATCTTCTTTTGGTGTAACTGGTAAGCTGCATTATAAAACGAAACCCAATAACAGATAAAAATATGAGGTACCGTGTAGCAGTGGAACTGAAGTATATTCGGAAACAGACTAATAGTATATATGCTTATTAGCAAATTACCAATTTAATTAACTAAGTCATTAAAAGTTAAAACAACAAACTACACTGTAATACCAAAAGCAAGCATTAGTATTGGATTGAGAACATTTTAAGTGAATAATAAGAACGTATTTTAGCTAAGTTCCGATAGTGTAGTGGTTATCACATCTGCCTAACACGCAGAAGGTCCCAGGTTCGAAACCTGGTCGGAACAAGTGTTTTTCTTTTTGAAAAATATTCTAATTTCTATTCTAAATGAATATTATCTTGTAACCCGTGGTAGCTTTTATTTTTAATGCATTTTTTATTATTGCGCGAGAGTTGTAATCTAGTAGTAGGTTACGCGAGGGTTGTTAGCTGTGTGTACCACATTATTTATGCTGGTAAATAAATAAATTATGTTACGCAACTTACACGACCGTGCTATTTTGACTGAACATACCTAGTCAAACGTGCGTTAACATATATATTGTATATTATTTAAAAAAAACTTCTATCTAGACTTCTCTCTGATATTCGAGGGAAAAGGAAAGGGTAATGGCAGAACATTACGATAAACATAGGCGATAACGATGGCAATATCACGACCTTTGTTTGACATATGACGTCACAACATGGCAGCCACCATGTCTTCTGAATGTTCTGTGAGTATTGTCCAAATCATTTCATTTCTTGATTGTTCGGAACATGTAGCTAGTTTAGATTGAGAAATCGCGCGTGTTTCTTATATATACGCTACTTGTAACCGATTCCTGGAAATATGGGCCTAGCAATACGGTTATCTTTAAAATAACAGTACTGTGACTCTGACACTGTGTGTTACTGACCACTGTTGTTAATGTTAGTGTTACTGTTAGCGCAAGTTGCACTGCAACCTCTCCTCAGCTCAGGCTTCCGCATTCGCGCATTGATTTTAGCTTTACATCAACATCATAGATTCATAGGGTCTCAAAACCATTTTGGAGCGCAGACCATAACATGTGATAATAACAACTACCATAAACCATAAATAACAACTGATGTAGGCTTTTTGTCCACTGTACTGTAGCATTTTCACTTTGACCATTGACCAACTGCCCCACAGAATAATAAATTATATCAGATTCCTAGCTCTAGTAACTATAGCCCGCGTACAGTTGCCGCTGTGCTATAGAACCAGCCATTAGGGATGCGCGGGACCAACTTAGTCGCGCTAATTCGCGACTATAAAGCGTCTGTGGTAGGCAATTAATGCCTCTTATCCGAAGTGAATATGCCTTAAGTTATATCCGCTACTAAAATTTAACCTCTAACTATCGTTGAAATGGTCTACTTGCGATATTTCTGGTGAACGAACATTCGATTTGCGAATTTCAAATGGCCATTTTTGGTGGGGCTGCAGCAGGCCAGCAGCGCCAGTGAGCGGGAACTATGTATTTCCGCACGTTGAGGGGTGGGCGGGTTGGGTTGGTGCTGAAGCAAAAACATTGTTTGTGTCAAGTAACAAATTGAAGCGATCAAATAAGATTGTAATATTAGTTTTGTCATGAAAGATGAACAAATTACTATTATAATTTGTTAACTTGACAACAACAATGTTTTTGTCCACAACCAACACAACCCGCCCACCCTCAACGTGCGAAATAACATAGTTCCCGCTGCTGGCTAGAGTATGTTGGTCCGAGCATTCGTAATGGCTGGTCCTATAGCCCAGCGGCAACTGTACGCGGGCTATAGTTACTAGAGCTATCAGATTTCCTGAATGAATAAAATTTGTGCATACTCATTACAGATTACTGATTATGCTGCTGGTACTGATTACTGCACTGAGTCTACGTTCTAGAACTAGTTGCTGTTAATTTTGGAGGGCGATTAAAATTGATGAAAGCAGTCAGAAAATCTCAATGTTTAGCAAAGCCAACGGCTTTCAGTGAAGTACTATCGATTATATCCTGCTTGTTGTTGCATTGATAATAACCCAAATAAAGAAATTGAAGATAAACAAATTACACATAAAATCAAGAGGTGTATAAAGTTGCATAAAAGAAAGAATGATAAAAGAAATCTCACCAGCGAACACAAGAAAACGTCAAAGTTCGAATAGATATAGTGTGAAAATAATCTAGTTGCGAGGTTTAGATAATATATGGATTATATCAATTGTTACTATTGGGCTGGAATATCCATAACTACCCATATCGTCTATATCTGATACCAAGCTGGCAATATTCGTGATTACTCATAGTGTATCCGTGGATACTAGGCTAATGTATCCGTCGGTTACTAGGCTAATGGACCCATGGTTACTAGGCCAATGTATCCGTGGTTACTAGGCTATATGTCTCCGTGGTTACTAGGCCAATGAATCCGTGGCTTACTAAGCCAATGTATCCCGGATATCTTGCATGTGTATCCATGGTAACCTCGGCGGGAACCGTCCAGCCGATTTCCTCGGCAAAAAAAGTCAGATTGTGTCTGCATGCGCCTCGCGGGGGAGGGGGGGACGTGGAGGCGGGTCGCAGGTCAGGGGTTGGGTCCAGGTAAAAAAAATACACTGGAGCGATGAGCGATTCGCTCTCAAACTCCGAAATCGCTCCCGCGAGGCTCAAATAGCTCCGTAAAATTTTTGACGAGAGAGCTATTTTTCCACAGACTTAAAAGGACTCCCGTGAAAAAAAAAGTTATTTTTTCCCCTGTTGAGTCGTGGCGTACTCAGGGGTCGGTCGCAGGGTCAGGTAGTGGGTCGCATCGCAGGGCGTCGTCATCATCATTGGTAGGGTCCCTGATACAGAGAGTTGCCGCCATGACGAGTCGAAAAAACTATCGGTCACGTTGTCGCTAGACGACATGTTGTTTCCAATAGATACGCACGGCTATGGGCGGTAAGAAAGTGTACAATATAAACTATCATATGGCGCGAACTATTTGAGTTACATTTCTAGAAATCTAGATACACATAGACACGTGTCTTAGCTATAATCTCTGTAAATTTGAGTTTTTTGAAGCATGATTAGTCTAATTAATTACTACAGACCATTGTACAGCGTATCCATACAACGCTGTACTTAAGCGGCAGCGTGTGGATACATTTGAAACAACATGGAGTCAAATCCTGAGTTGGCGCGGCAACTCTCTGTATATAGGGACCTAATCATCGTTCCCTCACGTTTCTCGGCAGCCCTCTAAGATGAACGGCGACGCGGCGATCTCTCTTCCGCCCTCGCTGAGCTGCAGCAGGAAGCTGAGCGAAGAGGAAGCCAAGACTCGAGCAATGAGACGCGCGCCTCGAAAGCGCCGCGAGGACAAGAGCATCGGTAACGGAACCCTATTAATTACAACGCTCTAATTAGCGATCGTAGCGATCGGCTACCCGGTTCGGCAGTTGTTCGATAAATTTATGTAATTCAATATTTTTTTGATGAATTTATTATTATATTATATTATTATTATAACTATTCTTATTATTATTATTATTATTATTATTGTTGTTATTATATAATAGGTCAGACCTCCTATGAACATTAATCTCGTATTGATTAGTGAGAGCGCGAATCGTCGTGGTAACGGCTTTGAATATATAATCGCTGGCTTGTTAGCGGGTGCTTAGGCGGCGGATTATTGACGTGATGCTGTCAGTGTGCTAACAGTCAGACTGTCGTCATTACTGACATTTATTGACAGATGATGGATAGAATGCTCGAAAAATATCCATCGATCTGTCGAAATATAACAGATGATTGATAGAACCCCCTGGAAAAATATTGATCGATCTGTCGAAATATAACAGATGATTGATAGAACCCCCTGGAAAAATATTGATCGATCTGTCGAAATATAAATTTGTTATAAATATGCATTGTGAGAATTGAATTGAATGTCAGGAGTTAAATCGTTGAATTCGACAGTCAAATTCAGTTATTGAATCTGATTATTGAATTCAATCGTCGATTCCTGAATTTGAGAATTGACTGATAGTCCTACTGTTGACATTCAATAACCCATGTGAATCTCGATATTAAATAGCAATACCCAAATTCAGATATGAGTCCTGTACAGTATAGATTCTATAGAATGTACAGTATAGCTGCCTAGTATAGAATGAGCGAAACCCGATTAGGCCAAAAGAAAATATAGGTGTGGTTACGGTTTCCCGACCGACCCTATTTATTCCCAGCGACCCTTTAACAACTTTTATTGTCAATTTTCTTTAAAGTAAAAAAAAAATAAAATAAATAAAAATAAAATAAAATATGAATTGGACAATTCCTGCTTCAAAAGGCACAACACACATCCTTCGGACATGGTTCGTAAATAAAATATTTCAAGAAAATAAAATGTTTTCCCTACCTACCTACCCTATTTTTTTCGGCATGTACCAGTAACCACACATATATTTTGTTTTGGCATAATATGCTGTGATGATCGGCTGTGGGACGTGTATAGCAGTGAGAAGCGGAATGTATGCAGGGATACTGGCTGCGATGTCGTCTCTGTGAGGCAAGGCAGGTATGCTGAGAGAGAGAGAGAATCAATAGAATGAGACCGTAGCATCTGCTTATGCATGCATACATGTACACACGTATGTTCGTAGCATACACATACGTGCGTGCGTGCATGCGTGCGTGCGTGTGTGCACGTGTGTTTGAGCACATCAGTGCACATTCATGTGTGAGTGTTCACATGCGTGGTGATACTCTATAAGTAT